TATATATATATATAATCAAAGAGTTATTAACCCATGAAATTCACTGCCACAGGATGTGGTGGAGGCTACAAGCATGGACGGCTTCAAGAGGGAATTAGATAAGCATATGGAGCAGAGGTCCATCGGTGGCTATTAGCCAGAAGGTATAAAGAGGAACTTTCAGTCTGGGGCAAGTGATGATCTGTATTCTTGGTGCTTGCAGGGGGGGGCACAGTGGGAGGGTTTCTAGTGTCCTGGCCCCACTGCTGGACCTCCTGATGGCACCTGGTATTTCAGGCCCCTGTGTGACACAGAGTGTTGGACTGGATGGGCCACTGGCCTGATCCAACATTGGCTTCTCTTATTTTCTTATATGGAGCTGAGGTCCATCAGTGGCTATTAGCCACAAGGTATAGATAGGAACTCTCAGTCTGGGGCAAGGGATGCTCTGTATACTTGGCACTTGTGGGGGGGGCAACAGTGGGAGGGCTTCTAGTGTCCTGGCCCCACTGCTGGACCTCCTGATGGCACCTGGTGTTTTTGGCCACTGTGTGACACAGAGTGTTGGACTGGATGGGCCACTGGCCTGATCCAACATCGGCTTCTCTTATGTTCTTCTGTTCTTATCTGCAAGACAGTTTACCATCAGTACTCACACCATGTTAATTTAAGTACCTGTGGTCATTATTGTATGATTCACATGACTGCAACATATGTGGTCATGACAGTTAGACTGTATTACCATGGCATATGCATATATATGGCCATTCATGATTCAGTCCTGTTACTGCCATATATATATGATCATAAATACTCGGGACCATATTAGGGGATTAAAATTGTGTGTCTCCTTTTTCGTCTTCCTGAATTCAAACTGGAGGAATGCTCCCTCTAAGCTATGGAGTCTTGTGAGCAAAAATTCTACTTTGTGAGCTACTGGCATGAAAGTTGCATAAAGTCGTCTGCTCTGGAGCCCTCCTTCCTGAGCGAAGGCAAAAATGTGTGAACCAGAGGCTAAAGGACTGTGAGCTATCTCACACTATGTCATCTTAGAGGGTTTTTAACATTGCATTTATTGCGTTGTGATTTTATATGTATTGTTGGAATTTTATCCTGTTTTGTAAGCCGCCCTGAGCCGGCCTTGCCCAGGAAGGCGGGATAAAAATCAAATAAATCAAATCAAACACTGACCCATTATACACTTCAGATAAAAAGATTTACTTTTGGGCCGTCAGAAACAAAGCATGCTGGCCATTTTAATTAATAACGAAAGGTTTCTTTGGGGATGGCCCACAATGCTCCAATATTACTGCCCCGCCCCGAAGAGAGATCCCACAATGCCCAGATGTGACAGATCCCTTCAACAGGCGTGATTGGATCCTTTAATCACTTTTGGCCCAAAGATGCAGCGGCTTCTGAATTGGACAGAAGCAGATCTACTTGGGACAGTTCTGGGCAGGGTTCCAAGCTGAGTTAGTGTGAGCTAGCTCACAAATTTTCAGCCTCCAGCTCACACATTTTTTGTCTCCGCTCAGGAAGGATGGGGCTCCAGAGCAAGCTAATTGACGCAGTAGCCATATTGCTCGCTCACCACTTTAATGCCAGGAGCTCACAAAGTAGAATTTTTGCTCACAAGACCCCACAGCTTAGAGGGAACATTAGTTCTGGGTGCTTCTCACTGCCCTGCTGAGGTCCCATTATACACTTCAGATAAAAAGATTTACTTTTGGGCCGTCATGACAACACTGGCCGCCGACAAATACTGGCATTTTGAACAAACGGTCACAAGCTTCTCTGAGCCTGCCCAGTTGAGAGGGAAATAACCTAATAACCTCAGCAAACGCTCTAATGGCGGATCGCCTGTGGTCCACATTAACGGACGGTAGATGTGATGGTTACTGCAGGGAGCCGAAGTATTTTATTCGGACAACGCCAGGCGTGAAGATGCCTCGTTTCTTATCTATGTTTATTTTTGGTATTTTGTGTATGCATGCGTGCGTGTGCCCCCGAAGTCATGGCGACCTCTGGAGATCGACCCCTACTGGGGGCAGGCCCATAGCCATAGCGGGGCCTCTGGGGGCATGCCCCCCGACTTCTTCCCAAGGCCCCACGACTTTTGGGGTGAAGCGGGGGGAGCACGCGCCCACCTGCACTCCAAGCTGTGAATTTGCGGCTTGGGGTGCAGGCGCACGGCCCCCACGTCTCCCCCAAAGCATTTAAAGGTAAAGGTAAAGGTTCCCTTGCTCGAAAGCCAGTCGAGTCCGACTCTAGGGTTACGGTGCTCATCTCCGCTTCAAAGCCGAAGAGCCAACGCTGTCCGAAGACGTTTCCGTGGTCATGTGGCCGGCATGACTAAACACCAAGGCGCACGGAACGCTGTTCCCTTCCCACCAAAGTGGTACCTATTTATCTACTTGCAATTTCTTGCTTTCGAACTGCTAGGTTGGCAGGAGCTGGAACTAGAGACGGGAGCTCACTCCATCATGCGGCACACTTGGGTCTCGAACTGCTGAACTACCGACGTTCCACAGCCTGCAGTTCAGCGTCTTTACCACTTGAGCCACCACAGCTCCTAAAGGGACCCTTTAAATGCGCTGAAGGAGGAGCGGGCCACAGGTGAATTTCAGTGCCCCCTGACTTTTTAAAAGGCCCCCCAGACTAAAAAAATCCTGGCTACAGGCCTGACTGGGGGCCTGGAGAATATTCAGAGAGGTGGCTGAACAAAGCCTGCCCCCCGCCTCCCAACCTCTGGTATTCCAAGGAGGTCTCCCATCCAAGGACTTGCCAGAGTCGACCCTGCTTAGCTTCCGAGATCTGACGAGATCGGGCTGGCTTGGGCTGTCCTGGTTAGGACTAGTTCTTTATTTATTTATGATCTTTTCCCGTTGCCCTGTGTCCACAGAGCTCAGGGCAGGGTACACAGGACGATCCATTTTTTACTGATATAGTCCACGTCCCATGGCCAAGTCGCTTACAGCCAAGATTTCACGGGCGTCCTTCCCATAATCCTCTCCGGGGAGGGCCCATGATCACCGTAAGGCATGCTACATTCCGTGATCATTAGGATACCCCTTTCCCCCTTAGAAGGGAGACACACACCACCTTGTGAGAAGGAACACACGAGTTCCCAAGCAGTGCCCCAACCGGCGAGGGGGCGTACGGCCGAACGCAGCCGACATTTTGACGCCTTGCCGGAGAGCGAGGGCCCCGAAACCGAAGGCAGCGTTGCAGGGCGGGATGGAGTCCCACGGCCGCTCCATCTTGGGTTGTCGGGATTGGTGCCAACCGACCCCAATAACCGCTCCAACCCCACGCGCACAAAGACCATGTTCACTTCCAAACACCAGCTTGGGAACATATGCGCCAATGTGGGAGGAGGTCCTCCAATGTTCACATTCAGGAACCATGCAATGGAGGAGGGGAAGTGGACGGGGCGGGAGGAAGTGGCGCCACGGCCGAGGGTGGAGAAAACGAGTGAGAGAGGAAGGATGCTGGTGAGATGGGGTGAGGGGAGCACAACCCACAGGATAAAAGGATGTGGGAGATTATTAGGGAAAAGGGAAACGGGGTTTCCACCAGATTTTTGTCAAATTACCTTCAGTGGAGGTTCCCCAACAATTCTCAACCCACCGAGTCCTTTCACTCTCTAATAAGAAACCCACACAGGAGTGTTGTGCAGTTTCCCATTAAAATGTACAGTGTGGCCTTTGGCCCTGCGGGAGTGGGAAGAGGAGCATGCAGACAATGGGTTTCCCCACATTCTTGTTTTCCTTGCTTGTAGGTTCCGGTTTCGGGGGGGGGGTCCGTTCCACCAGGGGTTTCGCTCCCTCTCGTGGTCAATTCAATATTATATCTGTTCATGTCCGTCATATCTCCCTGCAGATTTAACGGCAGGTTTTATGCTGGACATAAACAGATGTAATATTGAATTGACCACTAGGGGGAGCAAAACCTGTGGAGAACAGGGGGGGAAGAAACCAGAAGAAACAGGGACTTACAAGCGAGAATGTGGAAATGCCCACTGATTGGTACCCAAATCCCACACGTTTTTGGGCTGCCTTGAAGGGAAGACTAAGACAACCCATTTAACATAACCCCACGGAATAGAGGATGAAACGTTGAGTGGAACCTGAGGCGAAATTAAAGTTCTTGCATAAAACTCTTTTCCCACCACTGGGCTTAGTTTCCCTCCTTCTACAACAGGGATGGGCAGGCACCTTTGGAATTCTGACACAGGGTGGCAGGCACAACCACAAAATGGCGGCCGTCAGAGGCAGAGACAGCCACAAAATGGTAGTGAGGTCACGCCTAACTCTAATAGTATAGTGTTAGTGTTTCGGGCGGAAGCTCAGTTTAACAGGACGGACATACCGTTCAAAAATATTTTCTTTCGTACACAAGGCTTCACTGCATGACCGAAGGTATGATCTTTGGGCTGTGGTGGCAACTACTTAAAAAAAAAAATCTCCACAGCCAATCAAATCTCCAATGGCCAATCAGAAGCCTCACTGGGCAAAAATCCCCATCTGGCCCCGCCCACTTCCTGAAAACACTTGCGTGTCACCAGGAAAGGTGTCAGACACTTTGTCGGGAACCCCTGCCGGGCCGGTAAAAAAAGGCAGTTACTGGATTCAATTAAAAATACGTATTCCCCGACTTTTCCTGTTAGGTAGTCTGATCGCTTGACGGTAGCCCCTAAACTAGGGTTGCCAAGTCCTTTTTCTTCTGCGGCGGAGGGTTCCCAGATGGCTCGCGCGCCGCATGCACATCAGCCGGATGTGACGTGATGACGCCGGGCACGCTGGGGGCGGGGCCACAGCCATTTGAGGGGAAAACTCTATGTTTTCAAAACAGAGTTTTCCCCTCAAATGGCTGTGGCCCCGCCCCCAGCGTGCCCGGCGTCATCACGTCACCTCCGGCTGACGTGCACGCCGGGGTGGGGTTTCCCCCGGGGCCCGATTCCGTGGCAGTGCGGGGGGAAATCCGCCCCCCGGGGGGACTTGGCAGCCCTACCCTAAACTGTACAGGCAAAAAAAATCACAAAAAGCCAGCCATCTGAACTAGTGGACAATGGTCAACTGGGGATTTCAAATGACATCCAAGGTGGGGGGGTGTCTGTCCCCTCGTATACCCGTCAGCTGCTCTGAACCTGCAGAAATCTGGGGAGGTGGGAACCCCGGGAGCAGGAGAGGAGACGGGGGCACACACACCAAAACATGGCAGGGACGGAGGGAGAGAGAGAAGGAGTTGGGAAGGGAATGGGGTGTGGGTGGGATCACAGCAGCGAAGTCAGCACCTACCCACTTGTCCAAGTCAACACCCTAGAGGGCCGGCCAGCGGAACAGAGAAGCCAAAGGAAAGAAGAGGAAGAAAAGTTGAAAGCAACATGGGGAACAGGAGAGAAGCTGGGTCCCCCCGCTCCTATCAGCATCCTGGCGAGACATCTACCCCTCGTCTACCCACCCATACCTCCTTCAGCACCCCCCTTTGAGAGCGGGGCCCTGCCTGTCTCTCAACCCTCCCCTGTGCTCCCTCCAGGGACGTGGAGATCTTCTTAACCGGGAAGGTCATATTCAGAACCAGTCAGAGGAGGAGTTGGCAAGAAGGATGCGGCCCTGTGCTGGGGGAGGCCTCCCGAGACCTTTCTGCGCTTTGCGTCCCTAACCGCCATGTGACAGGCAGACATTCGGCAGGTAAAGCTCTCCACAGTGCAGAGGTGAAAGCCTGGGTGATCGGGATGCATTCTGGGAAGACATCTTTCAAAGGCAAAACGGGGCTGCCGCTCCTCATTAGCAGGGGAGCAGCAACACGCACATATCCCTGCCATAAAAAGCTACACCTGCTGAGTTCAGTGCTTCGTTCTCGTGGCCCTTTCTGACACGCCCAGGGAAATGCGGATCACCACTTTGGGGTCAGGAAGCCATTTTTCTCCAGGCCCGTTTGGCTGGGGATCCTGGAGGTTTTTTATCATCTTCTGGGCGTGGAACAGGGGTCACTGGGGGTGTGGAGGGGGAGGTATTTGTGGATCTCCTGCCCTGTGCGGCAGTTTGGACTAGATGACCCTGGAGGTCCCTTCCAACTCTATGATTCTATAATCCTATGCAGGGGTCGTTTCGTAGAAAAAGAGCTAGGGGAACTCATTAGCATACCTCATTAACATATGCCACACCCCCTGACATCACCGGAAGTGTGTCATAAGGCCACACCCCCTGACATCACCGGAAGTGTGTCATAAGGCCACACACCCCGCCC